TTAAGGTTCACTAGAAAAACTCATGATTTACTTTGATCCTCTTTTCAAAAAATTGTCTGTTCAAAACGCATCAACAAAAAATAAAACTTGAAGACGAGGCTGTAGCTACAGTAACTACCTGACGGCAGCCCGCTTTGTTGAAATTCGTAGAAATAACGAAGCAGGAGGAAATTACAAGCAAACGCACCGAGCAGCCTTGCAAAATCTGGTCACAGCAGTTTGAGAAGAAAATGGCAGCAGCTGCTACGAAATGTCAACGTCCCTAATTTAATGACTGAGCTTCTGATTACAAAACTAAAATGTGGATAATTATCTCTAAAATTGATGACTTTAAATTTGGTTGTTTATACCAAGCACAAGTTGTCATCCTACATAAGTTAGTAACACATTGACTTTTTGTGAAATTATGTTCCTGTTGAAAGTGTAACAAATCCCAAAGTCTGCTTTTTTGCAGATAAACTGCCTAAATTGTGCCTTGAAGGTAATATCTTTTTATAGTTTTGAGCAAATTTTGACATTTTCTTGTMTATTTGTTTTAATTTTGCAATATTTTGTCTYAACCCATCTTAGTGCTGTCCTSTATGGGTTGAATGGTGGCTAKTGCAGTAGAATTTTCCRATTGATTAAAATGGTACATGCTTACATCACAGCTCCTGTGTTTGAGTATAATAACCCCGCTCTCAGACACGCCCCTGCAGCAAGACAGCATTTGGAATAGTGAGCACTGCAATGAAAGTTTGTTACTGCTTTGAACGTTACTCATATTAGTACATACTTGTACATTTGTTTGTTATGAAATTTTTACAGCATCACACTTGTTCCATTACTCATCATCTTTTTTTTATATATCTTGCCCACCCTTTAAAAAAATGCGTGAGTAAATTAATAAATTGTTTTACCCACCACTAATGTTTTTACTTTTAGTGAAAAAGTCTGAATATGTTGGATTAAATTTTATGTTGAAGTTTGGATTTTTTGCTTGTTTGTARCTAATTCTGCTCCCTCTCATTTGCTGTCTGAACTTGTTTAGCCTGGTTTTGGCGATGTAGGGCTGGTACTTATTGCCACACCCTGGAGAGTTCACCGGACCAATGCAACATAAAAATGCCTCATCATTTATTTGATGTGTACAACACATTAAAATAAAACTTAAGTGTAATCATGTCTTAATGCATCTCCAGGTAGAAAAATCAAAAAAGAAAAAATAAGTAGGTCCTCTGGATG